TGTGTGTGTGTGTGTGTGTGTGTGTGTGTGTGTGTGTGTGTGTGTGTGTGGTGTGTGTGTGTGTGTGTGTGTGTGTGTGTGTGTGTGTGTGTGTGACAGTGCTGTTTGTGAATGGTGACCAGGAGTGAGCCGAGTCGACTTGGATGATCAGGTGAGGTAGATCTTTTGTGAGTGAGGCCCTACTTTGATTCTTTCTTCACAGGAGTTTCACGTTCTATTTCTTGCTTGTGTTTGGCACCCTTGACAAGGAAAGGCGTGAGCTGTGGAATGGTGGTTGGTGGTTGCCTGTGCGAATCTTCCAGATATCGAAGACTATGGGTTCGAGTATTCGGATGAGGAACTGGAGGAGCAGGATGTTGACATCGAAAACCAGTACTACAATTCAAAAGGTGGGACAACTCGAGAGAGGACTGATGAGCTCTTTCCGGCTTGTGGGGAAGTAAAACGAAAGCAGGACTCCCCCTCTGTGACAACCTTTTTGTGGTTTTAGGTGAGGCGAAGGGGACATCATCCCCACTGCCTACCTCAATGCTTAATTTGGAAGGAAAAAACTTCCTGATGGGAAGTGAGCTATTGATGGTTGTGTGAACAGTCACTCGTTTGCATGTGCGATTGAGCCAATAGCAAAGTACAACTGTGAACGGGTATGTATGTCATTGTAATGCTTGCAGTTGGAGACGTGACAGTCGCCTGATTGATTGGGAGAACTAGTTTGCCGAATGGTGGTCTTGGTTTTGGGGGAGGGAGGGTGGGAGGGTGGGGGATTGAATTTTATGACAAGGGGTCGTCCTGGTTCTACCGGCCCGACGGTTCGGGTTGTCACCCGTTCTTAAGACTTTAAGACCGCACGATGATCCAGGCCGTCCACGGTCCTACGGGCCTGACGGTTCAGATCGTCGCACGATCTTAAAATTTTAAGATCGCGCGATGATCTGGGCCGTTGGCCGGGTACCAGTTGGCCAACGGCCCAGATTGGAAGTTCGCAGCGCAGCCGAAGTTAGTGCAATCAGACTCGACTTATTCACACTTCTCATGCACGTGAACAGCAGAACAACAAATGGGCGCCATGCGCCCACACAGAACTCAGAGACATGGCTTCCAAGTAACAATTCGCTTCCACTGGCTATGGCGACTGTGCGCCCCAAACAACTCACTGTTCACACTCTGGATCACCCTGGATGTCCCACACGCGATACTCAGAACACACACTCAGTACGCACACCCTACACCCTACACTACGCTATGGCAGCTATGGCTGCCGCTACCTATCACTATGACTACACTGCTTCACTCTCGCCCACTCCATCCTCGGGGCTCCTGCAGACCTCCTTGCACAAGACGCTAAGGCAGCGCTTCCGCATGGCTTCCGCATGAATGAATGAATGGCTGGGCGCAGCCTCTTGCTTTATACTTCTGTG